GGATTAATCTGTTCCTCTTCCATTTATGCGTTTCTCCTTTGGATTTCGGTTGCTAATTATCTAGCAGTGCTTGAGAATTTCTTGTGGCCTTTCTTTATAACCATTGTTTGTTCCTTTTTAGGTACAAAATGTTGCTCTGTGGGATGAAAGAAATGAATCGTGGTGGGTTGGAGAATAATGAACTTGTTATGACATATACTGCCCAGAAATTGCTTAATTTCTCCCAGATGATAGAGCTAAGATTCAGTCCCTTTTATTGCCTTCTTATTTCAGCCAAAATAAGACAGAATGAAAAAAAAAAAAGGAAAGAAAGAAAAAAAGAGGAAATGCTTATTTGGATTTTTTTCTTCTTTCTGATCTGAATGTTATACTGATACTTAAATACTAGTTAGAAAGATAAACATTTCAGCTTAATTTCTCTCACTCATGAGTCATTTCTTTTCCTCCCTTCTAATCTCTTTGAGAATTCAGTCATCAAAAAGAGCCCAAGAATTTCTGCTACTGACTTGTCATTTAATGCATTCATTAATATCTGCCACATGTATACCATGTGCATTTAAAGGGCCTGCTTCAAGCAATGCTATTTATTCTCCTAGAAATGCATCATTGCCTAAAGGAATAAACCTTTTAACCTGTATCAGCAATCAAAAAGCTCAAGTAAATGATGAAGTAAATGAGTCCAAATTACAGTGCACTTGGTTCAGAATTCATGGAGCCCTTTGCCCTTGGCTTATAAACTTAGCTTTGGAAGCAATGGCCTGTTTGCAAATAGTGTGAAAGACAAATATGTCTGAAGTCTCTCCTTCCTAGACACCCACCTTGTATTCAGGTCTAGTTGGGCCAAGATGAAGAACAAAAAATAGCTGTTTATAAATGCATGCATACCCACTACAGAGTTTTCTATAATGCCAAAAAAAATGGCATTATAGAGCCCTTCAAAAGGGGTTGGGTAAATAAAACATAGTATGTGCCTAGATTGAAGAGCTATGCAGCCATTATAAAGGAGATATGCTTATTCCAGTAAAAGCATTTTTTTTAAGTGCAAGGGAATAGTAAAGGCCAAATTCAGTATGGTGGTTACTTTTGGTGAGTAGAGAGGAATACGTATTTAGGGAGGGGTAGATAAGCAGACTTTAACTAACTTCATAATGTTTAATTTGTTAAGCTTTATGGCAGGTACACAGTGTTTTTACATTATTGTTGTATCTTTCTGCGTATCTGAATTATTTACTAGTTTTTAATTCTTTGGGTAACTGACTAGGAAATGTCTACTGAAATAAAATAAAGTCCTTGACAATGTGTTTCATTACAATGTTTAAAAATTGTCTTATGTGTCAAAAGAGGATTATGTAATATGGAATGAGCATAAATGACTATGGGTGAGATTTTAATCTTAGAAGGCCTTGATTGTTAGGGATTACTTGGGGAGAAGCTATTGATGTGGGCATCAAAGACAGGCTAAGTAGCATTTAAAAAGAGGATTGAAAAACATGTATCCAAATTGGTTTAGCAAGGTACTCAGTGATTTTTAGAAAAAAATCCAGCTCTTGAATTCTACAGTGCTATAAAGATAGTGCTGGTAGCCATTTTTACCTGAACTTCTGATATCTTTGTCCAACAATCTGGTTATCACCATGGTCAAGCCTATGCTTCAGTTATTAAGCAAACATATCGTTAGTCTGTCATGTATACAGCAATTTGCTGGCTGCCAAGAGGACTAGCAGAATGAATAAGGCATGGACTTTGTCCTCAGGAAACACTCAAGTAACAGGGGAAGAGAGACACATAGTTAACTCATCCTACTGCGATTAAGCTCTATAGCAAAGATATGAGCAAATGGCTTTGGGAGAACATCCAAAGAAACACTTCTGTGGGGGCAGGAAAGGGTTAGGAAGGACTTCACTGAAGACATGACATCTTCTCTGGATCTTGTAGATGAATAAGGTAATCCAAGCAGAAGCAAAAGCATAACCAAAGGCATAAGACATGGAAGTGGCTTATTTCAGTGACCAGTGAGTAGCCCAGCATGACCTCATCATAGGAGAGTATAGCCAAGATCATAAGCACTCTTGAATATCATACATAAGAGTTTGGATTTTTTTTTCTGTAAGTATCAGGGAACTATCAGAGGATTTTAAAGAATGAAGTAACTTGATCAAGTTTTCATTTTGGAAGAATCACTGGAGGATTAATTGAATAGAGAGACGAAGCAGAAAGACCAGTTAGAAGCAAGATAGTCTAAACAAAGCAATGATCGAGCCTGACCGAGGAAGGGCAATAGTAATGAGAAAGAAAAGAAGATGGGAAGACAGATTCTAAAAGCATTGCTACACTAGAATAAACATGGCAGAATGAGGGAGTGAGGGAAAAGTAAAACCAAACCCTCTAGCTTGGAGGTTAGGCGGTTTACCGATAGAATATAGAAGGAAACCCAGGCTTTACAAAGTGGATAATATAGATTTGGTTTGGAAAAGCTTAATCTGAAAATGTCTTTAGGCCCATCAGGTGGAGATGTCCATCAGCAGGGCTTGTTTGCTATCTCCCCAAAATACATCTGGAATCCAGCCTCTTCTTTCCACCTCAGTCGCTTCCACACTAGCCCCAGCCACAATCGTCTCTCCTCTGGACTATTAGAATCATCCCCTAACTAATTTCCCTTTCTTCCACTCTGACCCACGTTATAGTCTATTCTCCAAATGGCAGTCAGAGTAATCCATTAAAATTTTAACTAAGATCTTATCACACTCCTCCTCAAAATCTTCCAATAGTTTCCTATAACAGGAAGAATAAATCCAAACTTTTTACCATGACCTCCAGGGCTCTACAAGATCTGGCCTCTGATTATCCACCTAAGCTCATTTCCTACCACTCTCCCTTTTTCTCATTTAATTTCAGTCTCAGTGGCTTCTTTTGCTACAATTTGTGCAAATCAAATGTGTTCCCATCTCAGTGAATAGTTTCAGCGACTCCTCCATGAGGGTCTGATTGCCATATACACAATGCTTAATGTCCATGGTGATCCAGCTGGGCAAGGTGGCTCACCCCAGTAATCCCAGCACTTTGCCAGGTGAAGGTGGGAGTATTGCTTGAGGCCAGCAATTTGAGTCCATGGTGATAGCTCTGGAAGTTTCAGCCCCTCTGGAATTATTTGGGCAGGTCCAAGCAGGCTCCAAGAAAGATGCAACGTAGCCAGCCAAAGTCCAGAGAAGAGCAAATAAATAATCAAGAAATCTGGGGTGGGGGCCAGGAAACCCCACAAAAAGACATTTGAAAACATGGTATATGTTTATCGTTCCTGCCATGCTATCTTGACCTCTGGTCAAGTATCACCTTAGAAATTTTTTCTACGATTTTCATTCCTAAGGACCTAGCTCCCACCTCAATTGGAAATTTTTGAGTCATTGAGTCTATAGTTTTTTAATATATTCTCCAGAATGACTAACATAGGGCTTGAGACACAGTAAGCATTCAATACATGTTCTAGGGACCACCCCAGTTGATACGAAATTTGGTGGGATTATATGTAAAATTCCGAAAGGTAAAGATGAGAGAGACTTGACTTGGCAGAACTAAATTTTGGTTTGGCCTCAACCTGAGTTGAGGGAAAGACTCTATTCACTCTATTATATTCTTCCAGTGCTTCTCAGTAAATAAATATTTCTTGAAAGGATAGATGAATGACTAAATACATAAATGCAAACTTAAGCAGCATTGGTAGAAAGTAATGCTCAAGGCCAGGTGCTCACGCCTGTGATCCCAACACTTTGGGAGGCTGGTGGGGGAGATTCACTTGAGTCCAGGAGTTTGAGACCAGCCTGGGCAACATAGTGAGACCTCATCTCTACCAAAAAAAAATATAGCTGGGTTTGGTGGTGCACACTTCTAGTCCCAGGTATTCAAGAGGCTGATGAAGGAGGATCATTTGAGCCTGAGAGGTCGCGGCTGCAGTTAACTAAGATCACACCACTGCATTCCAGCCTGGGCAAGAGAGTGAGAACCTGTCTCAAAAAAAAAAAAAATGGAAGAAAGAAAGAAAATAATGCTCCAAAACAATAAGCTTGTTTGTTGTTTTCATTCTGTTTTGGCCATTTATTTGGGGTACTGTGTCTGTTTCTATACACTACAATTAGAGACAGACATTACCAACTAGAATGTGCCTATGAGTGGAAAATCAAAGTTGTCAGAGTTCTGGAAACAATATCAGTGAGTAGAGTTTCACCTGATGAAGGATGAGAAGGGGACATAATAAAAGCCTTTCAATAATTAAAGGACCATTGTACAAAAGGACAGAATAATTGTATATAGCTCTAGTGGATAGTACTAGGGGTTGAGTGGAGTGAATTAAAATACTACCTATTGAATACAATATTCACTACCTAGGTGACCGGTACTCCAAACCTTAGCATCACACAATATTCCTACGTAACACATTTGCAAATGTACCCCCTGTGTCTAAAATAAAAGCTGAAATTGTAAAAAGGAATAAGAGTATAGGAAAACAAAGATCAGCTCAGAATAAGGCAGTACTCTCTTGCAATGATTGATGTCCCATGCTGGAGTGGGCTGACTAAAATGGCTATATACTCCCTCACAATGGTCTTTGATTAGGCATATTCTGCTATGATTAGATAAACACAGCAGGATATTGTAGAGAAGATTTTTTCATTGAAAGGAAAATTAAACTAAGAAAATGTTTTTCAAACCAGATTGTAACAAATTAGAGGGGCCATGAAATCAATTTAGTGGGTCCTGAGCAACGTTGTTTTAAACAAATTCCAATAGAATAGAAAATATCAGAGAGCATCACACATAACAAGGGTGAGTGTGGTTTTTGAGAACTTGTTTTGGAAATATGTTTACATATGTATGAACGGGTCTACTAGGCTGCAGTGTAACGTGTTTTTTATTACTGTGGATTGCAATTTTTAAAACTACTGCACTAAGCCCTCCTCCAGATTGAATATCTGGCAGCTCTAAGAGCTCTTGTCTCTTTGGTGCAGAGATCCAAAATTGCTGTGTACGAGAAAATGTGGTCTTACATGAAATCAGCAGAGCCATCTGTGTTTACCAAAACAACAGCAGACGGAGTGGCCCGAGTGCGAAAGTCCAAGGGAAAGTTCGCCTTCCTGCTGGAGTCAACCATGAATGAGTACATTGAGCAGAGAAAACCATGTGATACGATGAAAGTTGGTGGAAATCTGGATTCCAAAGGCTATGGTGTGGCAACCCCTAAAGGCTCAGCATTAAGGTGGGTGGAATAATATAACAATATCCGTGTTGTTATAGTATTCCACCTACCCTGATGCATTTTGTTGTCATTTTCTTTCTTGTGGATTTTGAGGTAACTTTTAAAAGTTTAAAATCTACAATATTCCATGGAGTTAAATAAGACGGTAAATTATGGTTTCATCTATTTAATGCATCCATTTTTTTTTAATGTTCTCTCTCTGTGTTGTCCTCTCTGACTGTTTGTTGCTGTTTTAATTTTACAGTCCAACGGCTTTTTCAATTTAAATGGTAAAAGCCAAGTTATGGTGCCATATGTGACGAATGTTAATTGCATGGATGTGGTGTTCTTGTTACTTTTTTTCTCAAAGACAATTTCCCCATCCCGCACACTTCAGTTTTGAGCAAATGTTATCCTCCATGCCACCTTCCAATATTTAACCCTGTATTTGCTGTACAGACATTTTTATAGCTCCACGTTCTGTGAAATTTAGCCAATTTGTCCTCTTGTGCTCCTTTTTATACGTTAACGATTTCCTAAGCATTTGTGCATTTTCTTACAAGTTATGTTTTATCGTTTCAAGAAATGCTGTTAACCTGGCAGTATTAAAACTGAATGAGCAAGGCCTCTTGGACAAATTGAAAAACAAATGGTGGTACGACAAAGGAGAGTGCGGCAGCGGGGGCGGTGACTCCAAGGTCAGCCTCAATGTCACCACAACCGGGTACCCTTAGTGACGAGTAATCGGCAAGACTGTTATCTTATTATTGAGGAGAGAGCACAAGACTAACACATAAAGTGGAATGACCAGGTTATTCCCCTGCCTGGCAGCTTTGGGAACCAAAAGGACTTTAGGGCACTGCCCACATTTTTGATCTAACTTGGGTCCCTTCTTAAACTCCCAGACAGAGGCTCCAACCACACCCTTTCCCTTCCTTCACCCACCAGATTGGTTGCATTATGAAGGCCATGAAGTGGGTTTCAATGCCCCAGGCTTTCAAGAGTCCAAGGCTTTCCTGTGAGACTGTCCCCGCCTGCCTCAGTCGAGTGGTATGAAAAATCAGATCCATCTACTGAAAAGTCAGGGCATAGCCTTTTTTTTTTCTAGGTTGTGATGGTTGCTCACAGAGGTTGGTTGGTTGAGTAAGGGTGGCTTCTTCAATTATGTGTCTGAGTGATGAGATGTTGTTCTCTATATGTGATAGCCCATTTAAGCAGGCCCCACTTAACTTGAAAGCCAAATAACAATCTCGGTTTCAAGTTAAATGGGGTCTTTCTTCAATAGGCCACCCCATATAGAGACTTTGCAAAGAGATTTTGTGTATTTAAGCAAGTGCGTCGCCTAACTGTGATACTGTATGTGTGTATAAATTCCTGATTTGGCTTCTCCTTAGCCATGTTCTTGGTTCAGGTAGGTCTAATTGTTATCCAGGCTGCCATCAAGAGAAAACCCATCTTACTTGGCATTCCTTTGGCTTCTAATGCTCTTTGGAGCTAGAATGAATGAATAGCCATCATCCAAGCAACAAGAAATAGGGGCAAACTCCGAAGCCACAATACCAAGTCATGGAAAGACACTTGGGGTAAGTACAGGAGAGGACCTGAAAACAGAATCCTCCATGGCCCAAGGGGCATGACAATTATATTGAAGCATGTAAAATCACCTCTTTTACGACCAAGATCCCATGGGCATCTTAAGGTGAAGAACAGTGTTTCCCAACCACAGACCAACAGACAGGCAAGCCAAAACTTTTCTTCTTCAAAGACAATGGTTGCACTTCTGCTCCTCTCTTTCCCTCTCTGTCCCTCAGGATCCTGATGGAAAAGTTAGTTTGCCAGTCTGCAAACACAATATGGGTTTGGAAACACTGATCCAGAGCACTTTCAAAGAAATAAATTTTAAAAGAACTTTCTTCAGCAAATAATCTTACCAGGCATTGGCATGGCCTTTTATTGTAAAACCTTGATTAACCAGAACTCACCTAACCAGTACCCCAACTAACTGAATTGCCCTCTCAGTACTTCACATTGATGAGAAAGCAGCAATAGTATTCCATAAAAGAAGACTGCAAGAAATTGATTTTTCAAAAAATTACTTACCAAGATGCGGCCTGTGGTTGGGTCACATTCGGCTCTTTCTCCTATATCTTCTCTCCATCTGGATTGACCCTCAAACGTTAAAGGCTGCTTCCCTGAAGCAAGAAAGTAGATACAAGCACTTTAAGAAAAAATGTTATTAGCCAAGAATGAACAAAATGAGTATTCTTATTGAAAATTCCATTCATCCCTTATGGATTCCAATTAATCAAGGTTTTACTATGTGTCAAAAAGCAGTAACTTTCTTTCCCACCAGTGTGAACTGATGACATTGACAATTTAGCCAAGCTCTTGGCTCATTTGATTTTTACAGTGGCCAACTTGATGGCCAAAGTTTTTAGCACTTTCTTCCCAGTCTTTTTCTCATGTTATTAGCACGGAGCACCTAATTGTATCATTGAAGTGAGTTGCAGAATGAAAATTGAGCTGGATTGGATGCATTACTCTCATGAATTCATCATTACACTCATCATGGTTAAAAAGGAGCCATGGACTGTAACAAGATGACTCTAAAATATCCACATGATGCCAAGTGCCCAGAAGTTTTCAGATAACCAGACGTTTGATGTTATATAAACAAAAAAATCTGCACGTATTTGGCTGAATTTTTACTTTTCACCCAGATGTTTTGGTACATGAAGACCCCAAAACTTTAGACCAGCTATTTTTAAATTACAACCAGCAATCAAGCTTTTTTTCCTCAGCTAGTACTGCTGCAAAGTTTTTTATCAAGTAACTTTATTGACAGCTAACGATTTCCAGATTATCTGAATTTTGATATGCAAATAGAAAAATATTTCAGTAGATCCTAAATGTTTTCAACTTCTCTAACCATAGTGCTATCTGCCAGGCATCTTTCAAATCGCTTTTCTTGGCCATTCCTACAGCCAGTCTTTTGAAACAAGTCAACCCTTTTCTCAACTATGGATAATAGTATGATCAGTGCTGCATACCCAACGATTGCTTATTCCATTTCTGGATTACCAAGAAGCTTGCCTTTATCTTCTTTCTTCTTGCTGCCTGCTGTTTTCTGAGAGTGAGCAAGAGAAGGGGCAAGAGATGAACTTGAATCTGGTTACCACTACTTGTTAGTGATGCTAAAAAAAAATGGAGAAGGAGGTAGAAATGGCAGTAAAACCTCATTAATTTGGAGCCCTCTAATAATTTGTGATAAACTAGACAGGGACCATGCTACAAGTTAACTTTATACTATCAGGCATGGGGACAATAAAGGTTTGTTAAGCAAATGAAGAGTTTAGACTGGAATGTCAGTTGAATTTTTTCTTAAGAGAACAAGCCCTTTTCAAATGTTGGGAGCACTTATTAGATATAATCATATTCGTTACATATCTATTGCTAAAGTAGTTCTCACGAGAATCTCCACTAAGGCAATGTTTTATAGTCAATTTGAATTACAAAATAGACTTAAAGTAATAACACTGTCATTCTTCAAACCTATTTTGTAATACAGGACTTGCTTTACTCATTCAGACAATCCTTTCCCTCTGTTCCTCCAAATCAGTAAGGTTTTATTGTATTAGCAAAATAGCTTGAGATTTACACCTCTTCACTGTGTCCCATCTCATTAACATAACAGTTGACTGTTGAATATACCAACATTTCACAGAGAAAGTAAGATTCAGAGATGGTGATGACTTTGACAAGGTCACACAGCTAATGCTGTCACAAATCGCTGCTTTCAGAGTCACCTCTTGTGATAATATTGCAGATGACATTTTAGCACTACCACCTATCCAATGAGCAATGTGAATCTGATTGCATGTGATACGTTTCCATAAAAATCAGGTTTATTCGCAACTACCTTGTTACTAGGCAAATGGCATATTTTAGCTGTTATAGCCCTCAGTACTGATTACTAAAAATGACAATAATCACAACACCTGACATTTATAAGTGCTTTTGCTTTTTCAAAATACTTTCAGGCCTATTATCTCTGAAACCAGGAGAGGGAGGAATACCGGTATCACTTATCTTTCTGTCTCTCTCTCTCTCTTGCAACCTTTAAATAATAATAAATGGGCAATTATGTTAAGTCATTGACTTTTTCTCCCCTGACATGAGACATTATACATTCTGAGATTAGTCTAGAAAAGTCACCATGCTATGGAAAGAAACAGCAAATTTTCAGGCTATTGTAAATGTACATGAGCTTAAACTAATAAAACTAATATTTTATTATTTCATTTTATTTTATTTTATTTCGATGGATACAAGGGATTAAGAACCAGGTCAGTCTCTGAGGCTGCCCCTGAACCAGACCTACAAGCTGGAACCAGAATACTCCTTGGCTTTACCAATTTCCCAAACCTGAGCTAATAGGACCTAAACAGAACAGACTTGATCGTTTCTTAATGAACTGTAAATGCACATGCAAGGATCATGTAAATTAGAGCTGTGGTTTGTGAATTTTTAACCTGCAAATCACCCTTTTGTGTTCATGCCTTATTATAATGTGTGTGCAAATGCAGTAATTAAGAGCCAGTAGGTTTTTTCAGTGATAAACCCAGATCACCAGGGGTTTGTGACATAGCCAGTGAAAGTCTATCGTTGTAAATCACAGCAGAATGGGGGATTTATGTGCAGAACTACCACATAGGCACACCAGCCTCTTCTGCAGCTGCCTGTCTTCTCAAACATTTATGTTCTTATCCCCCCATCCACCTTACTTCATTCCCTTAATCTTGGGTAAAGGGCACCAGCTTGACTTTCCCATCTAGCCTTACCTTACTACAGAGGGTAGGGTCAGTGAAACAAGTTATTTGTGACTGAGGTGGAAAGTTCTTACAAACTCTACCCAACTTCACCCTAGAATTATACCAGACTTTAGTTTACTCTGCAGGGATTAAAATAGACTCCCAGTGTCCATATATGCCAAGATGAAAATCAGCACGTGTGCTCTTGACAACATTGAAACAGAATATTTAAAGGGACCATTCTGAACTCCTTGACTGCAATGAGAATTATATGATAGGTGGGTGCCTTAACTTGAAAAGCATATAAGGAAATGAGGGAAGAGGATGGGCTGTGCAATTGAACCTCCATTATTTCAATAAATGGTAAGATGCTCATTATGACTAATAGCATATTGATAGAGAAATTGCAGTTTTACTATATCTTCAAAAATATATAGGAACTAGAATAAACTGACCAGTGTGATGCTAGGAAAAAAACTTAGGGAATTTGTTTAAATTTTTTCCAAAAAAATACCTGCAATTAAAATCAGTTGCGTTTCCTTTCACATAGGTGCTCTCAAGGTACCTAAAAAGAGTTTGTTCTCTGAAGAAATTAAAACATGTTCCTCCTCCCTATCACTAGCTATCTTTGTTTTTTTTTTAATCCCATGCATTTGCTTAGCAAGCCTCCTATTCAAAGACAGTAAAAAGTTACACTCTCAGACAGCCCATTTCCAAAATACCTCAGCTTCATATTTGGCAGAACATAGATGAATGAGGTTATACTGTATTTCTCATTGGTGCAAATGAGATCTTCAGTTTGATGTGTATTTCTTCTTCTTCCATGTATGTCTACAATTCTCCTCTCCTATGCACCGTCTCTTAACCACTTCTCTTCCACACCCAGA